CCCCAAAACCCCAAAACCCCAAAACCCCAAAACCCCAAATTTCTTAAAAATTATTGAAAAGAAAAATTTTAGAATAATTTTTAGCATAATATGTTTGGAACTCCAGTTAACAAGGAGCACTCAGAGTATAATACACCCATTGCTCCGAGTCTTAAGAGTTTTGTCAGGGTAAGTCCTCTTTCCAGCATCTTAGAGGATAAGAGAACATTTTGTGAGGGTTATCTTTGCTTTTAATTTTTGTAAAATAGACAGAGTCACATTGATATAGGGAAACATCACGATCATTGATAAGAAAAAGCAATACCAAACCGAGCCCTTTGTTCGTGGGGACTATGACGCTCTGTCTTATATCATCAAAGAACTGACTAAGTTTGAACAAGGAAGCATGGAATATGGCTATGATGTTGATTTTCCTAAACTATACCAACCTAAGTATGATTCGAAAAGAAAGTACAGTTCCAACCTAATGCTGAGCAACAAATCTGTAAACGCAAACTATAGCTTGTCCCCTGCTAGGAACTATTTAAATCCTCCAAAGGAGAAAATCGTGACAAATGATAATAAGCTTTCAAATCTTTCAACTATTGTCCCGAGGGTTTCTAGTTCAAACGAAAAGTTGGTTGATGAAGAAAGTTATGTGTCTAAGAATAGTATCTCTCCACACCAGAAGTTTAAGCTTCCAGCACTGACATCATTGAATAACTATAAGAATGTTTCTTTGAATAAGAAGATCTCAGTACGATCTCGTATAAACGAGCGAGCAGATGGAAGCCAACATTCCACTGGATCTAAACATAGCAAGTATAGTAAGAAAGCATTGGATATGACCCATGAAATAAACTACACAAAAATTGTTGATGAGTCTGATAGTCTTCATGAATTTATTATAATCACACTTTCAAAGGCATTTAAAGCTAAACCTCGGCCATCTGAAGGACTCTTAGACCAAGATTCTTTCAAATTCTTGACAGTAGCTGTAGTCAAAGGTCGCAAGAAGGAAAGCAACTGCATCAGAAAATGGTACAAAATGCTTATGAAAAGTGTCAAGCGCATGGTCGATGTCATTCTTAATGAAAATCCCCAAAGAATCCAGTCCCAGATTTATAATATGCTGAATGTGGCTAAAGTAGGGCTCTTCTCCCAAGATGCTATCACTGTGAGGCTAACTTGAGAGTTATTACTAAGGATTATCTCTGAATTTAGTCAAACATTTTACCTTGGCTATTTCTGGGAGTGGATCAAAAGTCAAGACCAAGTGCTAAAATTCCTCATAGATAATTTTGAAAGACACCCTGAGATCAGTCACACAACATGACAATTTCTGATAAAAATATAGCTTATAATCACCTTGAAGAGCTTTTCATGAAGCATATACTCAAAATCTGAGATTCAGATGTCTATAAATACTTGGAAGTTTTGCAAGGAATGATGGTTCTCATGAAGAATATGTCTGATGACTACCCAGATATTGAAGGGTTCTTCCTATCTGGACTTGTCCAGACAAGCTGGATTGATTATCTGGTATCACATCTGAAGAATGACGCAAGTGACCCAAATTCTATCCGCCAAATTTGAATGACTTTCCTCGGTGAGATCATCAGTACATTTAAATGAGAGCCTTCTAAGGTTGATATTGCGCTTGAGAGTATTTTTGAAGCATCTCAGACTCCTTGGAAATTACAACAAATGACAGCTTTTACTGTGCTTTTCGATGTTTTATGCAAATTTGCAGCTACTAAGAACCCTCACTCTGGAAAAATTTACAATTTTTTGGCTCAGTCGATCTCAAATTACCATAACGATGAGAACTTGAGAGAATTTTTGCTTTCAAATATGAAACAGATTCTTGAAGAAAACTCAGGTATTCCTGTAGAGATAGTGGTTGCTCCATTAATAGCAAAGATCAAAAAATTTCTAGATGATACTTATTATCTGAATAACTACGATTTTGATTTCTTAGAAGCTGTTGTGAACCACAAAAAGTTAACACTTTGCGTTGCAATTAAGGTCTGAAAAACCTTAGCTTGGTTAAGTGTTAAATAAGACCATGTATCACAAACTAGCGCTTCATATTTTGATGCTCGCGGTTAACAGATTTGCTCAATCAGAGAAAATGAGCAACTTTGTGACTAAACTTCTGAAGTACTTTTTCACTGTGTTATATGAAATCGAGAAGCATGTGAGTGGACTCTCTCACAAGCCTGATTCTGTATTAAATGATAATCTTCTTAGGCATAACAATATTGTAATCATGAACAACACTTTATTCCCAGGTAGAGGAGTTACATGCGAGTTTGACCCTTCTTTAACAAATGAGCAGAAGAAAATCTTGAAGAGAATCATGTGTCATAATGTTGTAGTATCGCTTCTTGATGTTGAGAATTCTCAACTGCAGGAGCGAGGAATCATAATTCTAAGATCAATGATGTCTAAACTGAAGTTTAAGTACTCTCTCAAGCCAGATTGGATCGAAAGCTTGAAGAGAAGGATCCGTGAAAATGCTATTCCTGATATTGGTAGTTCATTGAAAATGATGCAAGCTGAAATAGACCAGCCAATCGTGATGAGAAAGAACCCAAATAAATTAAAGTTAGCTAATCGAGCACTTGATGAATATCTTGTGGAAGATGTCATAAATGATCACGAACTTGAGACTGATGTTCAGGATCTCTCTTCAGAGGGATACCTCAAGCATGATATGAGCAGCCATAATAACAGCGAACAGAATAGCGAAAGATTTATCTCTTTCCTCTCAGATAAGGATAAACAGAAACGAGAGGCTCATGATAAGAAACTGTTCATGCAAAGATTAAGAATGGAATTTACTAGTAAGATATTTCTAACAATTTCAGCCTTTTCCCTACCCAAAGAAGACACACCGCTTCGAAAAGAGCTAGATGCTCTCTTCGCTGCATATAAGAGGGATATTGTGAAGCTTTTTAAAAATTATTCAGCTACTAAAGAATTTGACAAGAAAAATGAATTTGATAAATACAAACCTCTTAAAAATAGAATGAATCCAGGAGAGGCATGAAGAATGCTCAGAGATCGAACGATCTCTGAGCATTTTTTGATCCCTGATGAGGCTATTCATATTATAAGAGAGGTCAACTGTAAGATATTTCTCTATTTTATAGCAATTTTGGGGACTCCACAAGAGGAATGACATTACTTGACTCTACAAGGCCTCGAAATCTTCTTACTACAGATAGCAGTGCATATCTCAAGGAAATATTTCTATCGTAAAGGAAAGACCAAGTCACTCCTCGAAAATATAGAGAGGCTGTTCAGAAGAATGAGCCTATCTAGAGAGGAGAGAGGTACTCTATTTAATTCTCATTATTAGAAATTGGACTAAACGACGACCTTGATCTTTACGAAGAGACTGTAAAAATACGCATCAAGACACATTCCTCTCATTCACCAGTGAAGGAATACATCAGGGCTAAAATGAAGAGTATGTTTACTCATTTTCACTATATAGCTGTCAACCCTGCAGGGAGGAATTCAGGTATAATTACTCATAAACTCTATAGCTCTACGAGATGCTTCTGAAAATCAGAACCTGACTTACTCTGCTAAAAAGCGGCAGATGCTGCTTGATAAGCTACAGAAAGAAAAGGAGGCCAAGAAACTTGAGAAATTGCGTGAGCTAAAACGCCTGAAACGACGGAAAGAACTTGAGCAGACCTTGCAACAACGCAGACAGGTACTCCTAATTCTGTTATTTCTTATAGACTAAAACAGAGATGAAGCGGTATAAATTTGATGGAGAAATCCAACAGCTAGAGAAAGCTAAGAAGAAAATTAAATAAAGCCATTGTTCAAAAGGAAAAATTCCTTAAATAACATTAAGGATAAAGTAGAAGAGGAGCAAGACTATGATAGATTAGTATTCAGAGTCCTTGAGGATGAAGAAAGACAAAAGGAGAGAGAAATTCAACGGAAGAAAGCTTTATATTCGTAAGTTCCCTATGCTACCTTTTAACATCTCCTTATCTTCTCTTTGGTTCACTCTAAAATCAATAGAGTTGGATCGAGCATTCGTGTGTAATTCTTAATCCTTCATATAGAAAAGAATGGCTACGAGAAAGGAGAGATGAATTTGACAAGAAATATTCCAACAATAAAAGTAGTAATCGTAAATAATTTTCATTTCATGTATCATTTTAATTTCATTTGCAATTTTTTCAGCAATTTCTGCTATTCCTCCTTCCAGGTTCATCATTCTCCCGTGGGTTGAGATTTTAAGATTAAGATCTTGTTGGGATATTTTTAAATGGCTCTAGATCAGAGCTTCTAATGTTAGCATCATAAGCTTTGGATAATATCTTCATGAATAGTGCTTGTTTAACCCTTATGAATTATAAACCCTTATACATATCAGTATGATGCCTTGATTTATATAAAAAATTGGGCTAAAGCTACTAAAACATACTGAAAAAATTGTCAATATTGCTTGACCAACATGGGGTTTTGGGGTTTTGGGGTTTTGGGG